AGAAAGACGGTTTGAGAGAGGAGTACAGGAAGCTATCTATGTAAAATAGGAAAAACCTACTTTAAATAGAGGAACTCAGGTTTCACCTTTCCATCACCTATAATGCAGCTCTGAATCTAATATCCAAACAGTTTCAGTCTAAAGCCCCCTTCAGACAGGCCATGAAAAACGGAAATGTTCCGGACTCTGTCCGTAAGACCTTTCTGTCTGAATACAAACATCCGGATAACGTGTTCCGGAATTTATCCGGACGAAGCCCCTAGTAACAGGTCTGGACTTGTTACGGACAGGGTGGCTGCTTCAGACTGGTGAGGTAAAGTTCCGGACAAGGGGGAGGGGGAGGGGACCGGGGGACGCTGTGCGCACCTAAATAGCCCGCTGCTGTAGCATGCAGCGAACCACGGCAGCTCGCCTCCTACGGTACCACCTAGACGCGCGACGGAGCGCTTCACACCGCTTCAGTGATTCCTTTAACCATTGAGCTTCATCATCCAGGTCTCTTACGCATCTTCTTGTGCGCAGAATTATGCTTAAGCGCCTCGTGATTTTTATCTTGAGAGGCGCTATAGAAATGATGTTTTCTTCTTCTTCTTCTTAACATAAGTCCGATTCCCCCCCACCCCACCCCCCCCCCCCACCCCACCCCCCGCCGCCGTCAGACATCTGGAACTTTTCCCTGCTGTGTGAACGCAGCCGAAAGGACAAGTTCCGGTACAAAAGTGGTGTGTCTGAAAACACAGTTCCGGTAAAAAACCGGATTGAATTGTCCGCAAATGTTCCAGAATATCTGTCTGAAAAGGGCTTAAGTCACACCCTCCTGCATCTAATCAACACGACTCCCTCACAACAGAGGCCTACAACTCATCGGGGGTAGGGAGGAGGGGTATTCAGAGAGAGTTTCTGCTCGTTAAGCAACAATAGACAGCTACACCTTATAAGCTTGACCCTCCCACATCCAGTCAGAATTCACAAAGCTTCTTGGATGAGAACTGAAACATCTTCAAGAAACAAAACAAGTGCGGCTGCCTTCATGCAAACCCTTTCGGATCCTCACTAACATCATCATTGCATAGCAAAAAGGGCAGTGTCACAATCACGTTGCTGCTGTAGCCAATCAGAAGCTTGAAGTCCGAGTATCAGAGCATAAGACTCCAATTCCTGCTGTATTCTGTTCCCTACTCTTCTGGCACAACAGTTTTTTTTTTTCACAGATATCAACTCACAAGGTATTCATTCATACTGGAGCCCACTGCAAATGTATTGGAGAATGAGTGAACTTGGGTCTTTAAAGTGATACTTCAGCCTTTTTGAGACGTGTGTCGATGCTGAGAGCTTTGTAAACTGCCTCGGTCAAAAGAAATCTCCATAATTTTCCAGCGCATTATGCGGTGTTATTTTATAAACCTTTAAAATGAAATTGATTTCTCATTACAGGTATTTTCACAAAATAAGTAAGAAATTTGACAGGGCTTTAAACACATATTTTAAATGGCTCCAAGAATTTTAAAACCACTTTTACCTTGTTGTTCTGGAATATAAGAAGCTTGGAGTATCTAGCGTAGCATTACAAAAAGTCTTTTGTCTCCCACCTGCTTTACTAGTCAAACTAGTGGCCTTGTATTGGCCACGGAGAAACTGTTTGTTTTGAGAAAAGCTGGTATAACTCGTCAAAATCATGGACACACTGCCTTAAATTTGCATGTACCAATACATTTCAATGACTGCAACATACGTGTTGGCCATGATAATGCTAATGCAGAACAAGCTAGCTCAAGCTACTGCTAATTTCCTTGTTGGATGAGAGGAAACCAACAAAGAAGAATGTCAGCGCATACACACATACAGCGGTGTGAAAAACGATTTGCCCCCTTCCTGATTTCTTATTCTTTTGCATGTTTGTCACACAAATGTTTCTGATCATAAACACATTTAACCGTTAGTCAAAGATAACACAAGTAAACACAAAATGCTTACTTTTTCACACAGGGCAATGTAGGTTTGGATTTTGTTCTCTCCCTAAATAATAAAAACCATCATTTCAAAGCTGCATTTTGTGTTTACTTGTGTTATCTTTGACTAACGGTTAATTGTGTTTGATGATCAGAAACATTTTGTGTGACAAACATGCAAAAACATAAGGAATCAGGAAGGGGGCAAATAGTTTTTCACACCACTGTATACTAGGGCTGTCGCGGTTGAGGAATTCCTCCTGCGGTGATTCAGGGTGGCTTAATATTGCGGTGTGCGATATTATTGCAGCCCTTTTTTATTGCAGTACTATCTAAACATAATGTTTACACATTTAAAAAAGGTTAAAAATTGCCGTGCCTTCTTTAATAACACTTTACTGAATGCAGATCAAAGGGCAGTAACAACACAGATCGCAGTAACGTTTGTTTCTCCGACAGTCGGAGTCCGACTGAACTTAAAACAACAAAATTCAGGAGAAGGTTAAACTTTTAAATGCAAATTTGGCTGCAGCATCTAACAAATAAGAAACAAGTCCCCATTTTGTTTAGTTGTTTAAAATCAAGCATAAAAAAATTACATGTACCGGGCGCGCGCGCGCCGGGGCGCGGGGCACTATCATTTCACTTTCACACACACGAATGACGGTGCTTTATAGCTCGGTCACGTCCTTGTTACCCACAAGGAAAACCAGCATGTTAGCCATATACGCTTTGAGAGAGGATCTGAGAGGGGGGGCAACATTTGCAGCAACACTGAAAACCCTCTCGGATGGTGCGCTCGTTGCACTAACGCACACGTACTTGCGTGCGACTCTGGCGAGCAAAGGGAATCTCTCCCGGTTGTTGCTCCACCATGTCAGGGGGGTTTCTTTAGGGTGGATGCATTCCTCCTGCAGGTAGCGAGTGAGCTCCAGCTCGGCTCAAACTCTCTTCGGGACGGCTGCAGAAGCAGTGCTTGTCCGGGACTTCAGCAGGTCTCCGAGCGTTTATTTATTTATTTATTTTTGCCGCTGGTGGCAGCTCTGTCTCGGCCAAGGACTCTGGCTGCGCAGCAGCTGACGTACTGAAAACCAAAGCGCTCCCAAAGGAGCGAAGTAACGTTTCGTTTTGATGCCAGTGCAGCCATCCTTCTCAACATGCATCATTGAGTTGAACCAAGTTCAGTAATCGCGGTGGCCCATGATGCAGCGCGGTGGGCTTCTTCATATTGCGATATTTCATTTTTGCGGTTACCGCGACAGCCCTACTGTATACACAGGCATCGAAGAGTAGACGCGGTATCGACCGCTACTGCCTATGGCAGCCACTCTTGGCAATCTCTCGATGGGCTTCAATCGGTGGTCAACTGAAATGGGTTTCCAACAGTTTTGAAGCTAATCAAGAGAATGCCAAGAGTGTGCAAAGCAGTAATGAGATAGCCTGGTGAACTAGACCAAATTCTTGCTTTGCAAAGTTTGGTCTAGGAATGCTCTATCCAACTAAACACTATCGATAATTAAATTTCAAGTCAATATAAATTAAAGCTAAAGCTGCTGGGGTGTCTGACATGAAGACTAACTTGTTGCACTTTTTTCCTCAGTTTTGCAGCTTGTCAGGTGCAGGATGTAACACCTCACTCAAGCTAACCTTACGCCATCTGTTATGCTTTTTCTTTGTAGAGCAAAAGCTCCAAAACACTTCTACTCGTCTCCCTGCAACACTCATATTCGACCTTCCCTTCCAGCAGAAATTACTAACGACCGATCGATGAGAGGTAATGCATTTCCTCAGACACACTCCAGCACGATTCTGGCTCTAAACTGGGTTTGCTCTGACTCTGCAGAAAGCTCCTGTCCGGTATCTGCGAGGCTCCTTATGAGCAAACGTCATTTACAGTAGAAGAAATAGTCTCTCAGAGCTATTCAAACGAGAGGAGCCTTTTCACAAGCAGACTTATGAAAGACCAAAGGCGATTGAAGCTAATTTATGTTGCGGCAAACTACATTTCATTGACAAATGAGCAAATTATGAGCACATTTCTGTTTATTATTCAAGTCTACGTAGGGCTGCACAACATATTGAAAATGCATTGTTATTGTAAGGGTTTCTAATAAACAGCGGAATAAAAATGCATGCAAATATATATGGATGCCATTCTGCTCAATATATGCATGAAGAGCGTTGCAGCATCATGATAGAATATGTGGGTTAACAAGCAACAATATTACAACTGTGCAGCCAAGGTCAGTCCGGGGCTTCAGAAACTCCTACCCAGACTTAACTGCAGCCGCTTGTCTGAAAGGGAAACCCGGAGAATTGCATGACCATGAAAGTTGCAAATGTACCTCAGGGCTGCATAAACACAGACAAGAAGTCTAACACAGCAAGTTGGATCCTCTTTATCAACCCTCACCCAAACGTCCCAGTGGCGTGTCCAGATCTTTTAAAATGGGGTGGCCCAGGTGAGGCACAACTTTGTGCATGGGTGGCACCAATGGTTATGCTATTTTTGTTTTACCTCCAAGCCTTTTTTGGACAATGAAAAGCCTATTTAAAGGTAAATTAGTGTGGTGTCGCCTGGGGTGGCCGATCAGATTCCAAGGGTGGCATGTGCTACCCCAGGCCACTCCCTGGACACGCCCCTGAAATGTCCTGCACTGGCATCAGGTGACACCGTACAGAATTTTAACCCTCACTGATTTTTTGCAGTTTCTGTTTTTTGCAGCATAGTTTCAGCTGGGGGGAGGAAACTGTCGCTCCAGGGAGCACTGTGACAAACCACAGCTCTACAGAGAAGCAGGGCCTGTGCACACAGCCACACTTCCTCTCTGACACAGTTGATGAAAATTAATAAAAGATTAAATACAGAAAAACATCCAAACATCAGAAGATTTCCTGATGAGACCAAACTTCTCAAACTGAGAGGATGACAGCCTGGTGGACATCAGCTGTGAAAGTTCAGTAAAAGTTCAGCTAACCCCCTTCAACAAGCCCTGGATAGGTGCAGCTAAACCCCGGAGTAAACGAGCCGTGCATGGTTAGGTCCCTTACCGAGGTGGATCCAGAGGACGTTGCAATGTACACTTTGATCACCATGATAGATCCCTGATGCTGCTGCTGTCGCGAGAAGACCGGATGGCTGTTGCTCTGCTGCTTTCTGCAGGCCCGTGTGTGTGCGGAGGGAGCAGCACAAAACCGCAGATGACGAAAGGAAACAATTACAGCAAACTTCCAGAGCTGAGGGACTGGACGTGTGCTCCTGGCATCGCAGACTTTTCTGCGCAAATGCTTCAGTTGTGAACAGTGGATGGAGCTTCTGCATTCCTCCTCCGCCTCCCCGCCCCTTCTCCCTCACTCTAGACTCCCTCTCTCTCTGTGCAACACACACGCACGCACGCACACACAGAGACTTGATAGGCCTTTCAGCTTTCAAGGTGGCAACACATCGAGGTTATATTGTCTGAATATTTCAGCTTCGCCCTCTTTGTTTCAGAGCCAGACTCTGGCTCGCTGTTCCCAAACCCAATGACTGCGCAGTCTGTGCGCCACTTTTTTATTCTTTGCGGCTGAACGCGAGAATCTGCTGTGATTTGGAGCCCCTACTTCCAGCCTGACAGCTTCTTTGTGTAGCGGCAGCCCTTTCTTATTACACGGGCTCTGTAGGCCCCCTGCAGGCCTGTGCTAAGCGGACAGGGATGCCTTTCTTGTGCCTGAAACAAATTTAGAGAAAGCCGAATGACAACAGGGGGAAAAAAATAAACGTGTCGTGGAGGAGTGGGCGCCATGTTGGATTCAAACAACAAAGTAGATTTGTGGTTAAACATCTCCGCAGACGGGCGTAAAATTCAGCGGGGATGCACACGGCTCTACGGCCGGGGCTCGCCGCCTGCGCCGGGGCCTGTGATAACCGCGCGTGCGGCTCAGCCTCGCGGCCTCCACTCTTCAGGCGACGCGGAGCTTATGGAGCTTCTCCATTCTCTGCCATCCCTGCCCTGCGTGAAGGAGCCATCCGTGCAGACCCCCAGAACACCACCGGCTCCAAAATTCCGAGTGTTCTGCAGCCCCGAATGGCGTCGTCTGATTGGCCGAGAGCCTATCAATCATGCCTTTAGCCGCACCCCTCCCCCCATTCAACCACTCGCCTCTCTGTTCCAGTGTGTTTACTACACTGCCGAGCATAAGGGAGACACTCGTCTTCACATGCACTGAACCGACTGAGAAAAACAGTTTTTAGTTGTCTTTGTGAGAAAACCTCCAGGAGATCAACATGCCCAAGAGAAAGGTGCGTATTCTCAAAATAATACAAATATTTTAGGGGATAAATCGGCGGAGAATCCGGTGCAAACGATTGTGGAGACATCCCTCTGAGACGTTACTTAATTATAACGCAACGAATAATCGCTTTTAATCGCTGGGGATTTTTGTCTGTGTTCTAGATATAATGTACATTTTTTTGTGTTGGGTTGAATATTTTCCCGCTCGGACACGGCCTTTAAAAGGCGTTTTTTTTTGCGCGCGAGCCGCTGTCCTTTGGGGAGCCAAAGTCTCTCTCGGTCTCCATGCAGTTAAAGCACAAGCAGCAGCCATGCTTTGCAGCTCTTGTCCACCTTCGTCGCCGACCTAGCGGAGAACAAACGCTTCGCTTATCGCCGTTCGGCCTCCGAACCGACTGGAAGTAGCGTCAGAAAATTCTCTAGTGCCCCTTCTTTGCATTTTGACCGCTAAAATGAACATTGACCGTCGCGTTTCGATAAATTTATATATTTTCTGTCTTTGTTCGCGGTCCCAAATGGCTGCGATGGCGCGCCTCCACCGTGCGGGGGCGCCCGAGAGCACCGGCAGGTCCCTCCCCCTTGTGAAAGTCTCCCGCGCCAGCTTTCAAATCTGAGCTCCATGCTTTGAATGAGAGAAAGAGATGGGGAGGGGAGTGAGGGGGAAAGCGGGGCCTGGACCCCCAGGATGAGGCTCCAGAGACCCGCATGGCCGAACCCACACGGCATTCTTCTGAATCCACGCATTAACACAACATTTGGAGCCTCTAATCCAATAAATCCACCTGCGCCTGAGGGATTTTATCACTCTCACCTGAAACTGAAAAGATTTTTCAACAAGACTGGGACTGATCAGACTGCGTGACTGGGCCATCTGGCAGCTGTTTAATTCCAATGCTAACACAAATTTAACCCCCACGATGTTGTTTGTTGTTTATTTTATCATATTAACCGATTATGTTTGTTTTTCAGTCACAGGGAACGGAAGGAGGAGAAAAGGAGGAGGTGAGGCTCTGAAACTTTTCACGCATTTGGTTAAAGTTTAATCAGTCGGCACGAGGAGGATTTATAGGTTAGATGTTGGTTTTTGATGTATCTTAACAGTCTTTATTGTGTTTCAGCCCCAGAGGAGATCAGCTCGGTTATCGGCGGTAAGAACACACCCGTTTAATCACATTTACATCATTAAATGCTGCTAATTAGCTAAATATATGCAGTTATTATCATTTTTAGTCGTAGGGAATTAAAGAGTAAGCATTTTTCTTGATTATGAGACAAAGTTTCCGGAAAGGAAACAGATAGCATGTTTGACGAGATTAAAAAGCGAAGGCGTGTGTGAAAAATATTTTTATAACTAAAACTGCAATTAGAAATTAATGACTGCTACCTAATTAGTTAATGGTAAATCCCATTTACCTAGTTTGTCATAATTGTGGCTCTTAAACAGGGAATGTTACACAATTTTTACTTAATTATTATTTTTTACTTTGCAGAATTCTATACTTTTAAAATACTTAAAATCTTCAAAAAGCATTATTAGAGTGGATGTAGAGGTGTTTGTTTTTTGATGATTTGCCTCCTCCCCCCTCAGAAACCGACCCCTCCCAAGCCAGAACCAAAGGTGAAGAAGGCAGCAAAGGTAGGAGAAGTCCCTCCAACGCGAGTCGGGGCGTTGAGCCGGTAAATGACTCGTTAATTCTTGTGAAACAGAAAGAAAAGGCTGTGAACGACAAGAAGGAGGACAAGAAAACCAAGAAGGCAAAGGAGAACGCTGAGGCAGAGGCCAACGAGGAGAACCACTCTGAGAACGGAGAGGCCAAGACCAATGAGGTGAGTGGACCGTCGGCGCCATCCGGCGTAGCGCTCAAAACCAACACGTCTGACTTCCTGTGCTTGGACCCGCAGGTGGAGGCAGCCCCCGAGGAGGCCAAAGAGGAGGCCAAGTCCGAGTAGCACCACTGCCCAAGCGTCCTCCTTCTCTACGGCCACCCCCCCAGTCAGCTAGCCCTCTCCTCCCTGACCCCTCCCTTCAAGTCTCACATGGTTTCCCTCCAAGGCGTATTGTTAACAGATGAATATTTTTATCAATGATTTTATAAGTATCCGTACAGATTTTTAGCACAAAAAGCAAAGCTGATAACGGGGCGCCTTGCAGATTTGCAGTGGTCATATCAGGTGTCTGCAAGCAGGATAAACCACACTAAAAATCTTTTTTAAAATGGCATTTCATGATTGTTGACGGCTTGTTTTGGTGTAGAAAGCGTGTCCCTGCCGGATTGGCTATGTCGTGAGTTGTGTATTAGTGTTTTCTGTTTTTGTTTATTTCTCTGCCCCACCCGCCTCCCTGCTCTTACCCCCCCTCCCCCTCCACAGATTTCCTTCCCCTCGACAGTTTAGCCTTTTGCCCATCTTTTATTAACGGTTCAGCCATCTTAATGTGGGTAATACTTTTAGACCTCTAAATGTGCAGTGAGCTCCCCTTTTTGCTTTTGTTTCATGATTTTTTTTCACTTAAATTGTGTTTTAAACAAAAAAAAAAGTGTGTTTAAGCGTGTTGTCCATAAGAAAGAGGAAGACGAACATGTGAAACATTCCGGGAACAGCGATAGCCTCCGACCCGTCTCCTAGACGACCCTGCGTGGAAAAAAGAAGAAAAAAAACCTCAGCTCCCTCTCCATCCGGGCTGTCATGTCGGCTTTTTCTAAAAACTCAAACTTTTTTTCTTTCTTTTATTTTATTTCTGAAAGATTGGATTTGGAATTCTTCTCTGATAAACGCAGGTGTCCGGTCCCTCTCTTATGTTGTGAAATTCTCTTAATAAAAAGAAGTCCTGGGAATTTTCCTCGAATCGGTCTCCAGTTTGGTTCTTTTAGGGCGGCTTCAGGTCGTTCTCCTGTCAAATGAACAGGTTGTCTTGCTACATGAGCCGTACCTTGTATCAGACAGTTCCATAAGATGAGATGGTGAATCATTGTGAAGTTAAACGGCACTGAGGCGCTTTTTTTGTCCTGTTTCTTCTATTAGTCACGTGGAATCCTGAAAACGGGTGCATCATGTAAAGAAAAGACCAGAAATCTGCTGCTGTGACCTCTGACAACACCAAAAATGGCTTCATACATAAGCAGCCTTCTCTTGAGTGCAAATGCTGGATTCATATGTCTTGTCAAAGCCCAAATTAACCACATTTACTCATTTTCTGCCCATTTCTCGTGAAGGTCAGGTCTATTCGCTTCTGCCGTACCCTTGGGCTTGACGCATCCTGTAGAGGACTCAAGTGAAGGCCTTTAGTAAAGCCCTTTATAATCCTGTCTTTCACTCATGTTAAACCCTGCGTGAACTCATTCATGACCCATATAGCCATCTCAAACCCTGAAGCTGAAAGCATCACCGGTTTATTTATCATCACATAAAGACGGCCCCATGTTTAGTTTATACATTCAGACGCTTTCGGTGTTTGCCTCCAGCTCTCTCTGAGGTTGTGAATGCATTTTTTGCTTTCATTTTCTCCCCTTTCTGCTTAAAACTTCAAAAATGCACGATGATTCACGTGTGGTTATAAATTAAATATGGCGGCCAGTTCCTTTACAGCATTTGCCTCCTGAGTGACTGTGTGGATTTAGAGCACAACACGACTGCATGCTCGTTTTCAGGACCTTTCTTCCGCTTCAGCGAGCAGCACATGCAGTCTGTCTGACCTGCATTGTCATGGCCGAGCTCACCGGCTCCATTTTGTCGAGATTTTCAGATCAAACCGGAGGCGCGCTACTTCTTTCCGCCGCTAGATGGCAGCGTCGTCCATAGGATGTACCTTCCTGTCGCTCCTGCTCAGGCGGCGTGCTTGTATGGGGTGTTATAACTTCACATTATTATTTTGGGTTATTTTGCCTTTCACAAGTGAAAAAAGGGAGTTATATTTTCACCTTGTTATGCATTCATTTATAAATGTTAAATCTCCCACATAATATTCAATTACCAGGCTAAATATTTATTTTACAAACTAAATTATTTAGGTCAGATTACATTTTTTAGTTTGGAAAACAAATACTTAATTTCTTAACTAAATATTTGATTTGGAGCTAAATAGTATTGGTTTGAAAACTAAAATTTCAGCTCCAAATAAATACTGATTTTCCAAAATGAATATTTAGATCCCAGCTAAATATATATTTTAGGGCTAAACCTAAAAATTGATTTTGCAAACTAAATGTCCCGACTCCAAAACAAATATTTAGCTGGGATCAAAGTAAAATATTTAACTCCAAATTAAATATTCGTCGTTGTCGTCGTCTTCCTCCGCTTATCCGGGTCCGGGTCGCAGGGGCAGCATCCCAACTAGGGAGCTCCAGACCGTCCTCTCCCCGGCCACCTCCACCAGCTCCTCCGGCAGGACCCCAAGGCGTTCCCGGACCAGATTGGAGATGTAACCTCTCCAACGTGTCCTGGATCGACCCGGGGGCCTCCTGCCGGCAGGACATGCCCGAAACACCTCCCCAGGGAGGCGTCCAGGAAGCATGCTGACCAGATGCCCAAACCACCTCAACTGGCTCCTTTCGATCCGGAGGAGCAGCGGTTCTACTCCGAGTCCCTCCCGAATGTCCGAGCTCCTCACCCTATCTCTAAGGCTGAGCCCGGCCACCCTACGGAGGAAACTCATTTCGGCCGCTTGTATCCACGATCTCGTTCTTTCGGTCATTACCCAAAGCTCATGACCATAGGTGAGGATTGGGACGTAGATCGACCGGTAAATCGAGAGCCTGGCTTTCTGGCTCAGCTCCCTCTTCACCACGACAGATCGGCTCAGCGTCCGCATCACTGCAGACGCCGAACCAATCCGCCTGTCGATCTCCCGATCCCTCCTACCCTCACTCGTGAACAAGATTGCAAGCCCGGGTGGATTGGCCACCCGATCCACATTGCAAGGTGCAATGTGGATTGGGTGGCCAAATTAAATATTGATTTAGTTAATAAAATCTTTATTTTTCAAACTAAATATTGAGGTCTGGTCAAAATATTTAGTTTGTAAAATGAATGAGAGGTGAAACGTCTTCAAGCAACTCAAAGAAGTCCAGACGCTTTTCTTTCAAAGCTCATTAGACTACAATGACCTGGATGACTGAGAACCTTCACAGACATATTGTAAAATGAATATTTACCTCTAAATGAAATATTTTGCTTACTAACTAAACATTTATTTGGGAACATTTACATTTATAAATCTATGCACAACACGGTGAAAATATGACTGAAAAATGAAGCCCCATTGGTATCTTTCTTACAAAGGGCAAAATTATCCTAAATACAGCTTTTAAATTGTGTTTGACATTCCAAACAGCACCCCATAAACCTGAAACCACAGACCTATACACTCACCTAAAGGATTATTAGGAACACCACACTAATACGGTGTGTGACCCCCTTTCACCTTCAAAGCTGCCTTAATTCTACATGGCGTTGATTCATCAAGGTGCTGAAAGCATTCTTTACAAATGTTGTCCCATGTTGATAGGACAGCATCTTGCAGTTGATGCAGATGTGTGGGACGCACATCCAGGGCACGAAGGTCCCGTTCCACCACATCCCAAAGATGCTCTATCGGGTTGAGATCTGGTGGCTGTGGGGACCGTTGTAGTACCGTGAACTCATCGTCATGTTCAAGAAACCAGTTTGAAATGATCGCAGCTTTATGACATGGTGCATTATCCTGCTGGAAGTAGCCATCAGAGGATGGGTGCATGGTGGTCATGAAGGGATGGACATGGTCAGTAATAACGCTCAGGTAGCCTGTGGCATTTCAACCATGCCCAGTTGGCACTAAGGGGCCTAAAGTGTGCCACGAAAACATCCCCCACACCATTACACCTCCACCACCAGCCTGCACAGTGGTAACAAGGCATGATGGATCCATGTTCTCATTCAGACTCTACCATTTGAATATCTCAACAGAAATCGAGACTCACCAGCAGGCAACATTTTTCCAGTCTTCAACTGTCCAATTTTGGTGAGCTCATGTAAATTGTAGCCTCTTTTTCCTGTTTGTAGTGGAGATGAGTGGTACGCGGTGGGGTCTTCTGCTGTCGCAGCCCATCCGCCTCAAGGTTGTGCGTGTTGTGACTTCACAAATGCTTTGAAGAAGAAGAAGAAGAAGAAGAAGAAGAAGAAGAAGAAGAAGAAGAAAAGATCTTTTCTATAGCGCCTCTCATGATAAAAATCTCGAGGCGCTTCACAAAAACAAAAAATGTAAAATATAAATTTTTTTTGAAAATGATTAAAAATATTTTTAAAATTAGCAAAAAATTTACAATTGTGATTAAAAAATGTAAAGAAAGAGAGAGAGAGTGAGTAGAAAAGACGGAAATCAGCGGATCCGGAGGAAGGTGAAACAGGTAGGGAGAGCAGAACAAGGAGAGGGTGATGAAGATCACACCAAAACCAGTCTGAACAGGCGAGTTTTCAGTTGCTTTTTTAGAGTCCACTGATCTCAGGCTCAGGGGGAGAGGGGTCCAGAGTCTGGGGGCCACAGCAGCAAATGATCTGTCACCTTTGACCTTTAGCCTGGTGCTGCACAACCAGTAGGCTTTGGTCACTGGACCTCAGGGACCTGCTGGGGGTGTAGGGACTAAGAAGATCACCAATGTAAGATGGTGCTTGTCCATGTAAGGCCCTATAGACCAGAACCAGGATCTTGAAATGAACCCTGAAGGTGACTGGCAGCCAGTGAAGCTGGAGGAGAAGCGGGGTGATGTGGGTGTGTTTGGAGGACTTGGTCAGAAGCCGAGCACAGGCGTTCTGAACCACCTGTAGACGGTTCAGGGAGGTTCTGCTCAGACACGTGAAAAGAGAGTTACAGTAGTCTAAGCGTGAGGAGATGAAGGTGTGGAGAACTGTCTCAAGTTCAGAGCGAGACAGAATGGGACTCAGCTTAGCAACGTTCCTGAGATGGAAGAAGGAAGAGCGAACAAGTGAACTGACATGAGAATCCAGGGTGAGAGCTGGGTCAAAGGTCACGCCAAGATTCCTGACAGAAGGTTTGGTGTGAGATGCAAGCTGACCAAGAGAGTCTCTGACTTTGGGAACCAGCTTGTCTGGGGCACAGATGAGGATCTCAGTCTTATCTTCATTCAGCTGAAGACAGCTCCCACCATCCAGGCTTTGATAGAGTCTAAGCAGGTGTGTAACAGCTGCAGCTTAAGCCGGGCGTACACTGTGCGACTTTTTCACTCGTAGCACTCAGCTTCAGCTCAAACTGTATGACTTCCTCGCAGAGCAGATCTCACGAGTCATGCGCTCACACTGCACGTCTGGTAGCAACATGTTGGCCCTAAAAATATGCTAAAAATAGCAGTTTTTACTCAACACGTCATTTGCCTGTTGTCCTTCGGGAGTGCTGCAGGAGGACACACAGGGATTTATGGGGGTTGGATGAGGAAAACGAAATAAAGAAAGTAAATCTGTGTTTTGTGATCAGTTTAATTTGACATGAACACGACAAACACGCTTTCTTGACAATCTTTGTGAGTAAAAAAAAACGTGTAGAAACAAAAACGAACAGCGTGTGTTATTAGGGAAATAGCGGGCGAGCAGATGCAGGATTGCGCATGTGCCGTGAGCGGTTCTGATACATTTTGGGTCGCAGCTGCTCGCAGCGCCGCTTCAACAGTGCGATCCCCTCACGAGGGACGAGCGAAATATTAAACACGCCAGAAGTCCGTGCGACCTCACGACTGCTGATCGCCAGCTGGTCACGTGGTGTTAATCGCCTCTCGTAACCCCCTGTACACTACACGACGCTCGGCGCAAAACTCGCCCCGATGTCGTGGATTCTCGCACGAGTGGAAAATCGGCTCAAAA